AAAACAAATTACTTACTTTGATATAATTGAGCATTTTAGTTATCAAAACGCAAAAATAACTCAAATTATCAATTTTTACCAATTGAGATGTCTTTCCTTGCAGCTTTCAAATCAAAATAAATAAAGTTGTCTGTATAATTCACACATCTTCATAGTCATTTCATTGAATGCATTTTCTCTACCTTCAATCAGATGGACAAAACGGCTTACAATACACTATCCAGTCGTGTATCTTTAATGGGATACAATTTTATTCCTAACTCACACGTGTAAAGAAAGTTCTTTCGGTGTTTTATTTAATCATATAAGTACCTACGCCAGTTCGATCACTTACAAAGTCACGGCCATTATGCCGGACAAAAAGCCTAATCGCCTCTCGAGCGCACAATGAGCCCATATTAGACGCATCAATTCCATTTAATTTCGTTTTGTACTTCTCACTTTCTCTCTGTTATGTAACCCAACCCGCCATTTTTGAACGCTCCATTTTTGAAATAAGTTTGCTTTTTTTTGTGCATTTTTTTAATGCATTAAAAGGCAAATATTCAAGTAAAATAATAAAATTTAAAAATGTGAGGGACAAACTACTTAATAAGTTTCGTTGAACGTAATTTATTTTATTCTTGTCAATTGTCAATTTGTAGCAACATAAAATGTTACCGCTGAAGTGACTTTAGAATGGCTTCATTAACGAAAACTTTAATATACCTAAATTACCTTTCACCTTAATCAATTTAAAATTTATTCTGAACCCTGGGTATGATTCACTCGGAATGTCAACCGAAATGATATGACGACATGTTAATTTTGAACGCATTCCAAATTCAAGTTCAATGACAGATGTGTCGTAACGACACTGACGTTCGATACTCCATATTTGTAGACAATTTTTTTTATGGCAATGGCAATCGGGAAGCGTCTCATTATTCAGCAGAGCACTTTCATTCGAAAAAAGAACGTAATGAGAAGACCATCAAATATGGTCATCTTTAAAAATAACTTTCACTCAAGTTCAATGACAATACTTGATGTGAATCGATGAATAGCCCGATTACGTATGTTTATAGCATTGTCTCGTAATTGCTATGGCTTTGTCTTAATTGCTATCGCTTCGTTCATCTGTGAACAGAAACTAATTGTCAGTGCGGAGCTGAATTACAACGTATTTTAAAAGGTTTTTATCTTATTTTATACTAAACTACATTTTTAAGTCGTGGATATAATTCTCGGCTAGAAAATAAATATGTACGATCACGGACTATCGTTTATATGTCGGTCTCTAATTACTGTCTCTGCTATGCAATTAAAACAGAAAATACATTTTCTAGCAACTCGTGTAGTGTTGCTGAGACACGAGAGTAATCGTGACATTTAATTACTACTTAAAGTTATTACATTTATTATTTATACGTGTTCATGATGTAGACACGTAAAAGGCATTTATCTAGAAAAATATTATGTCATAGACGTCTTACAGTCATAAAAAAAATAGGAGTACTGTTTGTATCAGTAGTTTTCTAAAATAACGTTGGTGACAATGACAACCTTACGTGTTTAATGTGTAGGTATGTCTTTTTGTATGTACATTAGTTACTCCATGGCGTCAAAACGGCTGAAGGGATTGGGATGAAACTTGGAACAAGGATAGATTATGAAAAACACATAAGCTACTTTTTAGTAGGTATACCACGGGAACGCGGGCAAAGCAGCAGCTTCTATCAGCTCGTTTCCCGGCTTATCCCTTAAAAAAGTCTCATTTTTCGTCTAATAGGGAATTAGCGAGTGCCACACCATTGGATATTCAATGTTTGACAGCTGGTAGTGATCGGACTAAAAAACGTTTTCCTACATTCAGACCAAAAAAACGGAATTCCTCATTAGGACCGTCGTCTATCCACTTTTTGTGGTTATCTAATTTAATCTATACCCTTGCAAATATTTCCCAGTTGGATCTGCGAAATCTTTAAAGTAGGTATGTAAGTATCTAATTTACTGTACAGTTGCCAGTTGAATTTTCTTTCATCAAAATTATTAATTGGGTTTTCGGTTTTATGCCAACACAATAAAGTTTAAGATGTAATGAAGAAATTCGACGGAAATGGCCTCGACTACAGAAAGAATTGTACTTTTCTACTTTTAAGTTTAAATCGGTTCTAATAAACGAAAATGTCTGTCAAATTAGTTTTTTTCTATCGTTTCTTCATAGATTTTTTAAAGTTCAATGCCCCAAAAATGTGATATAAATATGTTTTTGTTTTGCATTGACTAAAAATTAATAACTGATGGACAGATCTTATATTAATCGATATTATTTCTTTAGGGTTCCGTTCAAATTGTCTGACAACTTTTTGGGGCTATTAAAGTCCTTAAAAGAATACTATGAAAGAGAATAATTTTACGTTGGTCGATGATAGGGTAAAAAGAAAAACGAGACGTATCGTGGCGAAGACAAGTAGCTCGAGAGTATACGGTGGCTAGCAGATAAATCTATCCTTTTCTGTAAAATTTCTCAATTACATTTTTAACTTCATTGTATTGACATAAACTCGAAAATCCAATGAATAAATTTTACAGATTGGTGTAGGTTGATGTGCTGGCCACTGTACAATGGAATTGCTTACCTTATATTAAAATAAATCGTTTTAACTGGATTCACACAATTATTTTAAGTACGGAACCTTTCAACATAGATTCGGAATTACATCGAAACATTTTTTCTTAAACCTTTTTTTATCATAATTACTTTTTAATAAATGGTAGGTACATAGGTAGGTTTTTAATATATGTATGTACTTATACTTCAAGAAGAAATGATGAATGACTTGCAAATAATGGAAATAGCCATTTCTCAGAACTATATTTGGGTTACTAGGTCAAATTATTATAGGTTAAATAATCTTTAACACTACGCACGTAAGTTTTTTGCGTTTAATGTCTCCAGAAGTAGGTTAGGTAAAGCAAAGATCGTTTGATTGTGAAGTATTTTATTAGGCTTCTTATTTTTACTGGGTAATTGTTAGAAATTAGAATAATATCTATTTTATTATACTTAGTAACAACACATCAACTAAAAGAGAGCTAAGCGATATTATGTTAAAGTTAAACTTTTATCAAAATCTAAATTAATGTAATGTCTGTCAATGTTTGTTCGAAAATCGGTTTAACTCGTCGAGTACCGGTTTTGTAGACACAATTATAGAACAATAGGTTGCGGTCACCGGTGACCGCTTGGTGTTTGACAGTTTTATAAAAACGAAACTAGATTAGTTTGGTATTATAAAACGAATAACCTGAAAAATGCAGAAAAATAAGAATATCCATCATAGTGTCGAGGAGGACTTAACGGTTTACCGGGGCTCCGGCTCGGAGGGCAGGAGTAGCAACGTGGTGGTTTTTAATCAGTAAGAGTCTGACACCCCCTCTCGCCACCGCCTCACCCAGGCGGGAGAAGTCATTCGCTGATTTTGCCCCCTTAAAAAATAACTTTTATAGTGAAACTTTCACGTTTGACGTATATAAATTATAATTATGCATCTGTACATTGATAAAAGGGATTTGTAGGCGGGTAGCCGGGGGCGTAATAATAGGGTGACGAGCGGCGCCAAATGTCACGAGCTGAGGGCCCCTACAGGAGGGCAAGAACAGGAGAATACTAACAATCGAATGCATAATTTCAAATTCCTTATACGTACGCACCTACAATGTACGATATCTAATGGGGAGAACCTTTTTGTCGCGGAGAACGTAAAAGGTTATCGGGGCTCCGGCTCGAAGTGCAGGAGAAGGAACGGGGTGTTTTTTAGTCAGTAAAAGAGACTCCCTCTAGCCTCACCCAGGCTGGAGTAACAATTCGATGATTTTCCCCCTTTAAAAAAAATGGGCCTATTTCGTATTAGAATTTGTGCGCCATATGGCCATAACCTTGACATTTGGAAAAGCAGGGTGCTTACTCTTGGAACCAATCTCAATGTTAATGCAATTTCAATCCAATAAAATCTCAATAATTATCCAATGTCAAAACTATACAACCCTATCGTAGCTGTTAAAGTAGCATTCAGAGTACGGAATATAAAGCCAAACTCAATACTATTTAGTTCATAAAATATTCGCGCAATACGGATGCAATAGGCGCTAGTGTTGCAACTCAAGATTACGAATTGGATTCAAGAGTAAGCCCCCAGGTTCGTCAACGACTGCTGATATCCGGTCTCTTTTAAATATGTTGTGTAGTCCTTTACGGTTGAAAGTAAGTAATCAGGAACCTCTGGATCCTTTCACTAGATGTAGTTCTACCCTTGTGTACCTATATGTATATTGTATATGTATAGACAGTAGTAATGATGACTGCCTCATTGGCCGAGTGGTCGCAAATGCGACTGCCGGGCAAAGGGTCACGGATTCGATTTCCAGGTCGGTCAAAGCATTACAAAGCATTTATTTTATTTTATTATTTCTTCTTAGTATTCTTAATTAATGTGTGCAGTGTAATGTGCATCTTGTCCTCAATTCTTTATCGTTATCGCGTTGGCGGGAGATTAGACTCTCACAGATAATATAGTTTAGTTACCAACCATGTCCTACATTTTGAGTGTTCATAGATCTAAAATTATGTTTGTAATCTAATTACCTAAACAATGGATTAGTTAGGTATGTATTCTTACGAATTTTGTTTCAAATTAGCTCATTATGTGTAAAATGAGATAATCAGAATAGTTTTAAGAATCTTATTCAGCAAGACAAGACTTGTTGATAAAATCGGAAGGACGGTTATTTATTGTCCTATAATTATATAGATACTCTAATATAACTTAATTTATTCCTACACGAACTACGTTTATTTATAGTTTTCCTCGGCATATTTCAAACGTTTTATCTACAATTGCGACCACGTCATTTCAAATGATAGCCGATAGGACGCGATGTCATCCGACCAGTGAGCCGACCGACCGATTTGTTGTCCTTCTCGCACTCGGTTACGAACGGTTATCTTTCCCCGCGAGCCCCTCTAAAACCCCGCTACAGCGTGTCGGCCGGCTTGCCGACCGACATGTTCTAGTCGGCGTCGGACGCCCGATTTATACGCGCGCGCACCGTAAACACAAACGCGATGTCTTCGCGCCAGTTTTGGTTGGAGTTCCTTCAACTCTACAGAAGTTTTCCATGTTTGTGGGACACCAATGACCCTGCTTATCTTCGTAGGCATGAGAGGAAACAAGCCTATGATGTCTTACTGGCTAAAGTTCAAGAAGTCGATGAGACTGCAAATGTACTCATGGTGAAAAAGAAGATTGATAGCTTCAGGACTTCGTTTAGAAGAGAAGAGAAGAAAGTCATACAGAGTTTGCAAGCTGGAGACGAGATCTACATTCCTACTTTGTGGTATTATAAGGAATTGGAAGATTTTCTCAGCAGCGTCAATGTAGATGATCATAGAAATTCTACGATGTCAGTCACGTCGTACGAGAATGACAATGAAAATGATGATGAATCACAGTGTATGGAAATGGTAAGTCCAACTTATTAAATAGAGATTTAATGCCATAGCTATTAATTGTACATATTTCTAATTTTAGGTTAGATAATAAGAAAACACCAAAAATGACAAAATATGTAATGTCATTTAGGTATAGTTTTAAAATTACGCGAATTAAGTCTTTATTTGTATTGCGGCAAAGATTGAAACTAAATAAGCCGGTCCATGTAAATAAACGCGCGAAGTTGAGCATAAAATGTCTCACGTTTGCTTAGCGAGCGAATGAATGAATGAAATGGAACCATTCATATTTGACAGCGTCTTTATGTCAATGACATAAGGTCTATTATCGGTCGTGTTTAATATTGAGTCGATTGTTTTGTATGTAACGTAAACAAACAAGTCTTTGAATTATTATTTGCCTATATGAAGTTAACTGTAGTAGCACCGTACAGTAAAAAAAAAAGTGTGTTTATACAAAGTGTTTTAATTTTAAACTTTGTATCGTTGCAACTAGCAAACATAGTTTTTAGGCAGGACGTCCGTTTCTGTTTATTTTTTATATAGATAGGCAACTAACTTAATTTTTTTTGTGCCCGTGTCATATTTTTTTATTATAATACATCTAGTCAATTTTTATAAAGTAAAGAAGGTACCTAGTTACACACTACAGTTAACCACATCTATAATTATTACTAAAAGCATAAAATACTAATTAACTCACTTAAAAGAACATAATTTGTTTTATTTTAATGCTATTTTATGCTAAACTTTTCTTGAAACTGATTTATAACAAGCCCATTAAAATATCTTTTGTCATAAAATTACAGGAGCAATTAGAAGAATCATCAGAAGGAGAAGAAGAGGAATGCGAGCAGAAATATTCACCACCATCACCAACACCGGCAAAAAGGCGGAAAATTCCTAAACCAATCATAATCACGAGGAAAGAGCAAGACAACTCTAGAATCTTTGCCCAACCGCTGTCTGTACCACAGACTGAAGAAGAAGACGATTGTGCAACGTTCGCAACACACCTCAAAGTACAAATGAGAAATATAAACACAGAACAAAAGTACATAGCCCAGAAATTGATATCTGATGTCATGTTCTTAGCTAGAACAAATCGTCTTACTTACAATTCTAGTATCAATTCGAACCTGACTTACAAAACTCTCACTTTGCCTTCAAAATCTAGTACTTCCATCACTGTCACTCCTGATCTTCCGACGAGACATGATAGCTCTAGTGCTATTCCTATTAAAATTAAGACTTATGAACAATAATTACAAATATAGGTACATTAATTATTATGTTTTTGGCTTACTCACGTAGCTGTTTGACTGACGAGGAACTCGACTAGTTTCAAGACATGCTAGAGGCTCATATTCATGAGCAGCATTTCGCGACCCGCGACGCGGCGACTGTCGCGCTGCTACTTAATGGTGCTCATGAATAACAGCCTCTACCTCTAAGAAAGCCCACATGCTCTAGCATGGCATCTAGGTATATAGTAAACTTATAATTATATTAAACTTATCTAATGACTTCTCTCGCCCTGGAATATGAGCCTCAAGTATGTCTTGACACTAGTCGAGTACCCGGAAATATAATAATAATTTATTTAAAATGTCTCACGAAAGATGATTACATCTTTCGTTTTATTAATATAATCACGAAAGATGTAATCATCTTTCGTGATTATATTAATAAAATATACAAGTTTAACAGTGGGATTTGTAGTATTTTTTTAACGATAAGCTGGTAAACGACCGCATCACCTAATGGTAAGCAATCGGCGTCGCCCATAAACACCTGAAACACCAGAGGCGTTACAAGTGCGTTGCCGGCCATTTGGGGGTTAAGAAATTCATGAGGATTGGGGACTATGACTCCGGTCCAGACAGAATTTGATTTTAGACATGTATCTACCTCTACATAAATTAGATAATCTATCATAATATACAAGGTGTAGTTTTGAAACCGTGGCATTTCTCAGGGGCATGTTACAGAAGTCTTCTTGGTTCAATGTAAGTACAAGTTTTGGGTCAATAGTTAAAATACGGCTGTAATAAATCGTTAAGTTCGACAGTATTTCAGAATAAGCGACAGCAATGTTTCATTGGAATTTTATGCAATTAGAAATAATAAGTGTTAAGCCGCGTTATAAAGCTAGTTACAAGACGGCGGCGTGTAGTTCGCACTTATGGATTTCCGTAATTTACAGAAAAATGAAAAATATTTAGGTACCTATCATTTTTTTTATTGATTCGGACTTAGAGTCAAGTTACCTCCTAGAAAATGACGCGGCTTTAAAACAACACCTTGTACCTCTATAGGTACATACATTGCTTGTCTAGACAAAAGCTTGCGAAACAATATAAATAACAATAGTGCCCACGCGCAAGTAAATTAAAATACTAAACGCGTCTCAGATTTACATAAATTAATCATTGTAATATCACTTTGTAATGTGTGTCTGTATGTTTGTTTGTATTGCTTATTTACATAATGTATATATAAGTACTCAGATATATAGTACACATGGCTACACATCGATCTATACAATCCAGTTTATCCTGGTCTTTTTTTTTTTTTTTTAAGGGGGGAAAATCATCGAATGACTTCTCCCGCCTGGGTGAGGCGGGAGGGAGTGTCAGACTCTTACTGACTAAAAACCACCCCGTTCCTTCTCCTGCACGTCGAGCCGGAGCCCCGGTTACCCGTTAGGTTCTCCGCGACAGTTTATCCTGGTCTAGCTTTGTATGATCTTTCCGTACAGTCGAGGGTCAGTTTATACTGGTAGTGTTAGCTTGGGTGATGTGTAGCGAGTGTACAAATATGTATGTACACCTTTTGTTTTATTTAAGTATCAACACTTATGAGGCATAGGTGCAGTCGTGCAGTAACTGATATTTTTTTTAAATTCCAATACATATTTTGTTTTGACATTCAAAAGTACCTTCCTGGTCTAATTGAAATAATGATTTTGATTTTGACTTTGACTTTGTCAATACCTACTATTATCACCAGTTACATTATACCTAAGTCTTATGTAATAGGGAATGAGCCTAAACCGGTCCTAATACCTGAGAACTCCATATTATTGTTAAGAAATCGAATAGTCGTTATTCGCACTCACAATCACTCGACTATTATACATAATATTGAGCTTGACATCAAAATCATTCTATGTCAGCAAAAAATCAGTAGATTCAAAGATGATAAAGTACCTATAGGTACATATTTTTATTTACATAACATACCTACATAATATAACATCATGCCTTATATCCCCGAAGGGGTAGGCAGAGGTGCACATTATACCACTGTACAATGTAACACCCACTTTTCACTACTTGTGTTATGAGTCCCATGTAATAGGGGTGAGCCTATTGCCATATACCGGGCGCAATTCCAGACTCCGTGGTACTACTTACTCAGATTTTTTTAAGAACCCAGTAATACTTTGCCCGACTCGGGAATCGAACCCGAGTACCCTTGCCCGGCAGTTGCACTTGCGACCACTCGGCCAACGAGGCAGCATATTTTTATTTGTAGTCCACAAATGTCACATAAATCCAAAAACTTGATCCCTTTTCAGTCAAAATAAATCAAAGAAACACTTCCAAGAGAGAGACCGCCCAGACAGCAATAACCATAACGCCTGTTTATGTTGGCAACATCGCGGACTTTTTACGAGTGACAACACTGACAACGTCACTTTGATTTGCCGCGCAATTTGCATAAACGTCATTTTTATGTTCATCTGACAGCGTGTGTCAGATTGTAGAGATGACTTGTTGTAATTTTATGGATAGCAGATGATTATGGAATGAGTCGGTTGTTTTGTTTTTTTGTTAAATAATTGCACGACTATAAGTACGTGTAGTTTAGTTTTGAACTACAACTACCGTAAAATGGGGTGAATAGGGATTGTGTGGTGAATAGAGACAGAAGAGGGGTGAATCGATACTATGAAGAATTTCCTTATATCTATTCACCCCTCTTCTGTCCCTTTTCGCCGCTGAAACCCTATTCACTGCATTTTACTGTATACAGATAAATAAATTTTGGGTGTCTGTTTGTAATATTAAAATGACCGTTTTTAATTATGCATTTGAATGATACCTACATACGATACACATACAAAAATTATTTTTTTTACAATTTTTATCTGTCGGTTTATATTGGCTAATTTCTGAAATGGCTGGACCGATTTTGATGAGACTTTTACTGACAGGTAGCTAAGGAATAACATATGCTACTTTCATTTTGAAAAATAGAAACAAAAAAGTTACGTCCTAAATTTTATATTGTACGTGGACGAAATCGCGGGCAACAGCTAGGCTTTAATAAAATCATACAGGTCTTCGATCAACAATAGCAACTAGATAAAGGGTTACGTACAAAATCAAGCTCCAGTTTTGTCCGTGTGAATAATAATAGTAAAAAAATAACAAACAGAGATAAATGTTTTAAAATAGTTTTAAGTTCAACCTAATAACAACCATGGCACCTAATAATAAAGTCATAAATCGTCAAAATATTATCTAATACTTACGACCATTCGTCATATAAGACAAGAAAAGTATTTTCTTACTCCTGTCATGTAGAAATTAAAAGACATAAGTTATACAATATCTAGTTTGAATTCAACCTTAAGGTCGAACAAATAAAGATAATTTTTCCATTATTGTCTTGCGATCTATATCGTTTTGTTTTGTTTCGTTTTGCTTCTTCAAATTTCGAATTTCGCTACAGGAGGTATGTATGGAGTCGCGTTGGACACTAAAATAATTTTATAATATGAAAATTAACATTTCGGGATCTTAGTATACATCACTAATTTTTATTAGCGGTACGTTTTTGTGTATGATATGTTTATTTACTTTATCGTTAAAAGTCTAAGTCTAAGTCAAAATTATTTATTTCAGTTATACCAGGAAGGCACTTTTGAACAACAACAATATAAATTTAAAAGTGAAGCTATTTGCTCATTCCAAGGTGTAGATTCCTATGGAGAAGAACGAGCAAGAAACGATACAATTTCTTATTTTTTCAATACAAATCGACTCCATGCATCCACTGTTCTGTTTATACAAATGTTGGCGAGACTTGGCCAAGGAATCGCCAACACACGCACAAACATTGGTGGCGTTGGTTTATAATTGATAATTTTGTCTAATTTGATATTATTTACTAGTTTAAAAGCTTAAAATATAACTTATACTTTATGTACTTATCAAAAGTAAGACACTCCGGCCGTTATACTGCTTTTTCGGTTGTTATTTTTGCAACTTGCAATTACTCGTGAGACGTGAGTACATTGGCCGTGTTTGGAGCATACTAAACAAAATAAGAGCTCACTTTTCAAGTGAGCTCACTTTTCAAGTGAGCTCTTATTTGTCGAGACGATTTTCTTGCGCCGACCCGATATCTAGTTGTTATTGTTGATCGAAGATACAGGTATTATTTAAGTACCCCTTTTGATCACCTTAGTAGTGATCTATAGTACCCTTGTACAGGGTTGAATGCAATTGGACATTTGTGATCTTTGGCAATATGAACGTAACACAGAACACTATGTTAAATAATTTAATTATTTGGTCAGGTTTAGCTTATTACACGGACCTTGTGGAATCTAGAACAAATTTCCCTGCGTTTAGGCGCTTTTGCCATACCTATTATTGGAAGCAAGTACAACAGGTCACACATAAGACCCACTTACATTTTAGTCAAATTTCGTGGTGCTTGGCGACTGGGCTTCACCCAGTTGTACAGTTTTTTTTTAAACGTTTTGCCCCACTTTAGGATTTTCTCCTGTGTCGTGGGTACCTTTACAAACATACAAGTTCACATACACATCACACCCAGACCCGAAACAACAATTTGTGGATCACACAAAGTGTTGTTCTGTGCGGGAATCGAACCCGCGACACGTTGCACGGCAGCCGGTTGCCCAGCCACCGCACCAACTGTGCAGTTGAGTCTCTTTTTTGTGCCTTTAGGCTTAATTCATTCTGTCTTCTGCAGTAATTCACCGAGGGAAGTGGAAACTATCGTTTTTTTTTTCTTCTCTTAAAATATCTTCCGATTCACTTCGTTGCGGGAACCAAGACAGTTACTCATGTCCCTGGGACTTCAGTGTTCCGATGTTTTCATGGTTGTATCTACTATAGATCCTGGCTTACAGGAGTTGCAACGGTTTTGGTAGGCTGTGGCGGGCTTGTCCCATTAAAAAAAATTATGACAGAAATCGTAAATTCGTAATTTTTCATTCATCTAATTTCAACTTTATTACAAGGATATAACATACTCAATAAAGTATCAGTTCATGTCATTATC